CCCCAAAACCCCAAAACCCCAAAACCCCAAAACCCCAAAACCCCGACTGCTAAATATTCTGACTAGGGAAATAATTGATATAATTAAATAGTTATTAAGAAGATATATATTTTAAAAATGCCACCTAACAACGAGCGCGAAAAGTATTGTTTCTTCATTATCAATAATGATGATATCGTTGAGCCACCTCAATCAAGTGAAATTCAAAACGCATTTGTTAAAGGAACACTTGAAGAAAAGAAAAAAGCATTAAAGACTTTGATAAAATTAGTAAGCAATGATGATAACTATCCTAGACTTCTCATGCCAGTCCTTACAAACCTTTAACTTAATCAAGATCATGAACTCAAAAAGCTACTGTTTTTATATTGGGAAGTTGTAGAGAAGACAAATTTAGATGGATCAGTTAAGGATGAAATCACTCTTGCTTGCAATGCCTTGAGAAAGGATTTACTTTCGCCCAACGAATTTATTAGAGGCCGTACTCTTAGACTCGTGTCCAAGATAAACATCAAGTCTATCCTTGAAAACTTAGTCTAAGCAGTAATTGAAAATCTTACCCATAGACACTTCTACGTTAGAAGAAATGCCATAATGTGCATCTATTCTATTTTTTCTAACACAGGAACTGATCTTATTGAAGATTGTATAGACAGTATTGAATCAATATTGATTAATGAGACTGATTTATCAACTAAGAGAAATGCATTCTTCTTATTATTCCATTTATCATAGGAAAAGGCTCTCTCCTATCTTAAAAACCTTATGACAGCAACTGATGATCCAGTTTAAGAAATGGGAGATATTTTCCAGTTAATAGTTCTTGAGATGCTCAGAAAGCTATGCAAGATAGAACCAAGCTAAAAGTAAAGATTAATGAATGCCATTTTCATGCTTTCAAATTCAAAGTCTTCTTCAGTACTATTTGAATGTGCAAACACTATTACTTAATTGACCACTGCCCCTACAGCTATTAAGATTGCTATTCAATCATATCTTAACTTACTTGCTGATCAAAATGATAACAATGTTAAATTGATTGTTCTCACAAAGATAATGGAACTAAGAGGTAAATATGCAAAACTTTTAGAAGATTATATCTCTGATATTTTGAATACAATTAATGAAGAGCAGATTTCATCATTAGAGATTAACGAAAAAGTACTAGAGCTTACTACAGAACTTGCATCATCTAGAAACATTAAAGAAATCATCGGATTCCTGGAAAAGGAAATTGTAAGGGCAAGAAAGATGGATGAAAGCGGTGATTAAGCTACGACTACGAACGAATATAGATACCTGCTTATTAAATCTATTAATACTTTAACTCAGACATTTCCAGAAACAATTCCAAATGTCCTTAGGCCTTTGATGGACTCATTCTTAATGTTTGACAATAGATCAACTTATACATCTCTTGAAACGATACTTTTTATCAGAGAAATAATAGAAGTACACCCAGAACATAGATAATCAATTTTCGAGAAGATTTGTGATTCATTTGAAGATATTAGATCACATTTGGTGATCAGAGTTGCTCTTTGGATTATTGGAGAGTATGCTACCACATAAACAGATGTTGATAGGGCGTTTGATACAATCAAGAAAAATGTTGGAAGTCTACCATTATATAAAGCAGAGGCTAATGATAATCAAAATCAAGAAGAAACAAAATCTTCTACCTCATCAGGACCTAAAGTTATAACTAAGACCATTATTTTACCAGATGGTTCATACGGTACTGAAACAATTGTACTTAATGATCCTGCTCAAGCCAGACTTTAAAATCAAGGAACTTCTAACTCAAATGATGATAATTTACCTCTCAGACGAGCACTTTTAAATACTGATGATGATTACATTGGATCATGCCTCGCAATAACATTGACTAAACTTGCAATTAAGTCAAAGAAGAATCTAAGCGGTAAATTTAATCAAATGAGTATTGATTCAATTCTTATTATTTGCGCTTTGCTTAAGGGGTAATAAAGTAACAAAAAAAGACACTCAGATCCTGATTCAAAGTAAAGAATGCAGCTTTGCCTAAGAATTTTATCAAACCCTAATGGACTCAGTTCATTATCAGCAATAGAATCTTTATTGGTCGATCAAGGAAAAAAGGTTTTCTCTAAATTCCTAGAAACTCATAGTAAGCTAAATACTGGAAAGAAAGGTAAAAAAGGAGAGGAAAGTTTGCTTATAACTCAACCTGATGAAATGGTTGTATTCAGATAACTAAAAGGAAGGACTGGAGCAACTGATTTTGATATTACTGAAGAACTTTCTGGTGAAGGAAATGGAATGAATGAGAATGAAGACTTTATGAATGACGTGAGGAAAAATATTGATGCAAAAATATATCAAATGACAGGCTATTCAGATCCTATTTATGCTGAAGCGTTTGTGGAGGTTCATCATTATGACATCTTGCTTAAAATTCTTCTTGTTAATAGAACTAACAAAACTTTACCAAATATCTAAGTTGAGTTGTTAACTTAAGGAAATCTTAAGATTGTTGAGAAGCCACTCCCGACAACCTTAAGAGCGCTATCATCATAAACATTAAAGGCTTCTCTCAAGGTTTCATCCACTGATAATGGTGCTATATATGGATATATTACCTTTGATTCTGCAAGTGGAAATGTTCCTAATATTATCAATATCAATGAAATTCAAATAGATTTTATCAATGAACTTCAACCAGCCGAATGTAATGAACTTGACTTCAAAAAGAAATGGGCAGATTATGAATGGGAAAATAAGGTTCATGTTAACACTGCAAGTGCCACAGGAGACTTGAGAGAGTATGTTGAGAATTTTGCGAAAGCTATGAATGTAAAACTGATGACACCAATTACTGAGTAAGATCAACTAAGTGGATTCTTAGTATCGAACCTCTACACTAAGAGTAAATTTGAGGAGGATTGTTTGATTAATCTCAGCATTGAAAAAGCATTAGTTGGAGATGGTACAAGCAGAATCACTGGCCTCATTAGAGTGAGAGCCAAGACAGAGGGAATGGCTCTATGTATTGGGGAAAAATGCAAAGCTCTAAAATGAACCTTATTAATAAATCTATTAAAATTCTACAATTTTCATAATCAAATATATTATGACAAGTGGGGTTTTGGGGTTTTGGGGTTTTGGG